CTTATTGGTATTTTGTGTCTCAGAGGGTGCAAGGGAGATGTGTCTAGATTCAGCCCCTTGCTGCAACATCCCCATGTCTGCTCATTTCATGAACCTAATTGACCACCGCAAGTGAGCGTACCAACAGGTCCGCTTGCTGATTCCAGTCACCTTCTGATCCAGGAGAGGGGTTCTTCTGATAAACATCAACGTGTTTTACTTTAATGCACCCTCTAAATTCCCAGAGTGCTTTCCATAGGTCCACACCCACAGGGGTGTCCCCTTAATAGTCCAACTTTCCATTGCCCATTTGCCTGACCATATAGCCAGGCCATTGGCCACTGCCCATGAATCAGTAAAAACCCAGATATACGGGCTCCCACCATTGTGCGTTTCTTCCATCATGGCTAGGAAGACAGCACGCAGTTCAGCCCACTGAGCTGACTTGTTCTTATCTTCTTCAGTCTTTCCATCTGCTAGTCTTAATGTAGCAGTTTTCTACATCGTATGTGTTTTCCACGTACCCTGGAACTGCCATTCGTGAACTTGGCAGCTTCTCTGGTGGTTCCAGGCCAGGGTAGGACTTATAGGAAAAGATGCTACCTGCTTGTGGATACGGTGGGTGCCTCCCTGCAGCTTGTTCTTGTATGAGCCATTTCCATTTTATTATGGAACTATTTTGGTCATTGCCTTCCTTATTAGAGTGTTTCTCTTACATCACCCGAGGCATGGGTATTTCAGGTCTTGTGATGAGTTTATATCCTTCTGTCACTGAGACAGTCTCAGTCAATGCCCCCTAGCAGGGAATTGCCTTTCAAATGGTGTGTATCATGCTGCAGCATTTGGAAATTTTCTAGTTCAGAATCTTAGTGGTTGCCGTAGGGTGGCATTCTCATGTTTTTGCCATAAGCGCCAGTCTACATAATCAAGTGTGACAGACACCTCCAAAATCATGTCTGAATGTGGATCATAAGGGCCTAAAAGCAGGGAGGGTGAGACTGCTTTCTGTAATTAAGACATAGCCTGCTGTTGCTCTGGCTCCCATTAGAACTCAAGTTTCTTCCAAGTGGTTTTATAGATGGGGGCCCACAATATTCCCAGATGTGGAATATGATTCTCCAAAATCCGAATAAACTAATGAAATGTTGGTCCTCCTACTTAGTCTTGGGGGTAGGTAGCAACAACAGCTTATTCTTGGTTGCCTGAGAAATGTCATGGGTGGCTCCTGCCCACATTATTCCCAGGAAATTCACCATTTGGGCAGGGCCCTGGATTTTTGCTGGATTTATTAACCAGCCTCTGTTGGTCATGTGGGCCACCACTGTATTAAAATCAGCCCTAGCCTATTCTTCAGTGTTGGATAGTAACATAATATTATCAGTATAGTGCATCATTACACTTGAGATCTGCACCAAGTCCAAGTCTCTTCTAACCAAACTATGACAGTAAGCCAGTGAATTCAGGTAACCTGTGGCAGTACAGTGAAAGTATATTGGGATCCTTCTCACGTGAAAGCAAACTGTGGCTGGCTGTTTTCTGAGATTGGATTGAGAAAAAGGCATTTGCAAGATCAATCACTGAGTACCAGTCTCCTTTAGCTTGTATTTTCTACACGGTTGATACCATGTCTGGAACAGTTGAAACCACAGGTGGTACTATTTTGTTTAGGCCTCTATAGTCTACTGTCAGCCTCCATGAGCCATATGCCTTTCTCATCGGCCATACAGGGGTATTACACAGAGAATTTGTTGGCACCAACACTCTAGCCTTTAGTACGTCTGTAATCAAAGCAGTAATCTCCTTTTGTCTATCAGGTATCCTATAGTGTTTCACATTAAGAAGGTGAGTGGGTGGACAATTCTAACGGTTCCCATTTAGCAGGTCCAATCAATACTGGTCTAAAGGCAGACTCACACACGTTCAGTTTTATATTATTAAGTAGAGGGAGTATTCCTCAATTAGACATAATATCCATACCAATAATACATGCAGGTAAGGGATATGCAACTACTTCATACATAATCTGTTTAAATCTTCCAATTCTCATCCAAACTTACACCTTAGTCCTATCAACTGTTGCATCCCCATACGCCCCTAGTCTAAACTTAGGCCTCTTAAAGATTTTATTGACAGGTTTTGGAATTACAGTACTGCTGGGGGTGCACCAGAAGACCCTGGCCCCCTCCTCAATCCTTGTCTTGATTAGCTGGCTGCGTCTCTGCCTCAAATAGTCCCAGGCAGGAACTCCCATCATTAAATTCCTCCCAACTGTGGTGAATAGAACAGATTTGCTTAGGTCTTTTTAACGTTGAGAGACCAGCAGGAGTTTCCATTGTTCCACCCATTCACCTGCTGCATTAGAACCTTTGTCTCAACTCCATCGGTTCCACTATATTCATCCCATTTCTTAGTAACTATCTAAAAATCTCTGCCCTGCTGGGGTAAATTCCTTCCCCATTGCCTCTTCCCATTCTCCTATGAATCACCCTTACGTTTCTTCCATTTGTAAGACTTAAGCAGGGAAGCTGTGCCAACAGATCTGACAAGGCTTCTCAAATTGTTGCTTTGTTTCGTAGTAGCAAGGTTACATGGGGGTGCCCATGTAGAAGGGGCTCCCTTGATAATTGTACCTGCCATGACCTGTGTAAGTGACATATTCATTGAATGAATATGCTGATCACCATAAAGCCATTCCAGCATGGCTTCCATGAACAGCACATCAACTGCTTTCTCTGGAGTGTTCCATTATTTAGAGGGGGAGAGAGGTAGTTTCCCTTCTCAGGGTAAACTAATCTCACTGCAAGTTTTATCCAGTCCACCAGGCTGTCTGTCCCCTCCGGATTAACCTGCTGTATAACTGGATCTTCTACCATCACAAAGATTATGGCTAGAAGGGTCATATTAAGTAATTCATTGCACAACAATATATTTAATGATCCAATTCATCCAGATATTTGTTTTGTTCATTGCTGTATCTGCTTTGCAACATGCAGCAGTAGGCTCTGAGTTAATATTACTTAAATTTATTTAAATAAATAAATAAATAAAGTAGCCACAGTTAAGTCTGAAGGGAAAAAGTCTTGTCTGAGAAACAGGGCTTTGCCAGGAGAAGTAGCTCTGGGTTGTGTGAATTGAAAAGGATCTTTCCTTTGTTGCGTCTCACTAGTATCCAGCAGGGCTGTAGATCATCCATAGTGTTATTGGAAAATAACAACCTGAATAACAACAAAATTGTATGCATATGAACAGAAATGTAGTTGTCAGGAATTTAGGCCTTCAAAGATAAATTGACCTGCCTTCTGACCCTGGTTCGGCAAGTTCCATGTGGGCAACATTGAGTATGTGATTAACTGATAGTCCCTAACTTTACTCAGCTATTAACTGTTTGAAATAATATTTGCTTAGGAGAGTCATGAGATACAAATGAGCAAGCATGTTGAAAACTTTTTTGAATATCTTTCACAAATCATAGTTGTTCAATACATGGGACATTTTATCATTACTATATTTTATAATGAACGTTAGAGTTTTTGAAAACTTTAAAATATGTAACCTGTCCCACTGCAGTGGAGGACACTTTTGGATTTTGGCTGTAGCTTAGTTTGTTGTGATACCAGCATACCAGGATTGATTAGAGATGATATGGACAACTCATTTCACCACTTCCCTGACAAAAGGAGTCATCTTACTCTAAAGCTGCTCTGTTTTAGCACCCAAATGTAGTTTAGCAGCTTTTTCTCCGCTCACTACATGAGGAAGCCAGTGGATTGGTACAGTTTCACAGAGGTCACTCTTACAGATCAGGGAATTCCATTGGTCAGGATTCAGGTAGTTATGGTTGTGTGTGGTTGTGTGCCCTCCAGGGGCTACAAATGTGAGAGAATTGAGTGGAGCCTCTAGAGGGCTGGTATGTAAGTTTCTGTTTTCTAGACTTCATGGGTATTTTAACAGGTAAACAGTCTGTGCTTCAACTTACAAAATTTTTTGTGGTAAGAATTATATATAACAAAACATTTGCTAATTCAGCAATGTTTACATGTATATGTAACTTGGTCACATTGATGTCATTCATGTGCAGTCATTACAAAATGGGAATCCTAATCTCAGTAAACACAAGGGCATGCCGTTCTTGTTTCTGCAGAGACAGTGCTCTTTGTCATCTTATAACATTATACTGTGTGTGAGAGTGTATGAGTTTATGTTTATTGAGGGGAGCAGTCATTAACAATTAGTGCACAGTTGTATCAGGTCTCGAAATTTGAGAATTATGGGGACATCTGGATTCTCATGTTTCCTCTCTCTCCTGATCTGTTCTTAATTTTTATTACCTTTGCCTGTCTTTATGAAAGGGACAGAGGAGAAGACAGAACAACTGAGTTTTTGAAAAACAGGTGACTGACATGTAAAAGTTCATAATTCTCCAAAAGAATATTATTTTTTCAGCAAATGCACCTGTCACCTCCTAATCGCCTAGAGTCCAAGAAAATATGACAGCTCGGGGCCTTGGATTGCCAGTTTGTGTTGTCCCCTGGTCCTTCCATGCTTATGAGAGGCAAAAGGAAAAGCTACCATTCTGCAGTGTTTCCCAGTTGTTAATACTTCATCCCACCTTCACCCTGTGCTTTATGTTTTGTTGAGTATTCTGGTGGGTCTTATGGAAGGAGGTGTAATTGTTTACATGGAAATAATGACCTGAATGAGAGCATTTTTCTGATTTCTCCTATATTTTTTAAATGTTCTAGACTGAAGAGAGGAATAAGACTACAGTTGGTCACACTCGAACTGTGGAGAGGTTATTTAAATGTGTTGGATGACTTTGAGATAGGATGCAATCAGTGAGAAAGTGACTGTAGTTAATGAAAAGATGAGGCTGATGGCTATATTCTAGATTAGACCTTGAGAACCTTGTGTTAAATCTTTATGAATTCTCAGTTCCCCAGGACTGTCAGCCTCACCTTTCGTTCTTGTACACATTGAAGTTTATGGTACCTTGCTGATCCAGAATGTATGGGATGTTTTAGGACTCAGTAACCATTGAGGATGTGGCTGTGGTCTTTAGCCAGGAAGAGTGGGCTTTGCTGGATCTTACTCAGAGGAAACTCTTTAGAGATGTGATGATGGAAACCTTCAGAAACCTGGCCTCAGTAGGTAAGAATGGCATCTTTTTTTAAACACTTATTCCTTTAGTGAACAAAAATATTCTACTCATTGACTTTGCTCCAATATTTGGGCTGAGGAATGGGAATAAATCATTATATGAAAACAGGCATGGTCCCTTGGTCTGTGGAGCTCACATATCCTGGCTTCCTCATGAATATAAAGCTCTGTGTATTAAAGTAAGTTTTCATTTCTTTTGTGATTAAAAGCCCTGAGGCTCTTTAAGTGTAGTAAGTGTAAGCACTGGCCTGAGGGGTCACTTTGGGGCACTGAGAGATTTGTGTTTTGGGACGTTGTAAAAAGTTTTACTGTTTATTATAAGTTAGACATTATTTTGTTGCAAATAGACTCACATCTGTCTTCAGAGATTCTGAAGAGCAAAGTATTGTCTCAGTGTCAAGGAAGTATTCATTGCTCTTCACTGTTTTCCTTCATGATACACATTTCTCTGTGAGCACCATGTCAGCTATACCAATTAGTTTTTCCATAGAAGCAAGGAAATGATCCGAGGACGGTAGAGATAGGATTCATCAAGGGCCACTGTGTCAGGAAGCACCAGGAAAGCAAGAATTTTTTGAAGGACCAGCCTTGCATGGATGGAATTACATTTGAATCAGTCAGCTAGAAAAAGTCTCTTTTGGGTTGCGGACACAACTTCACAGATAACCTGAGCTTACTTTTCTGACTTTAGCAATCCTGTCACACCTGTAGTCATGGAGACCTTGTTCCTCTTTTAATGTTACAGGTGTATTGTTTCCAGTATCTTTCTACTTAGCTCCCCTAATTACATCTATTTATATTACTATCACTTTCAATTCTCGTGAGACTATTTCCTAGTACATTGCTTTTTAACCATTGCCAAAGTGCTGAAACAGCAAAATGTGACTAAGTCTGTCTTGGTTCACAGCAGCCTTTTTCCCCCCGATAATTCTCTTTCTTTTTGTTTCATATTGTGGACTTCAACCTGAATTATTGGGTCAGTGTCTCGAAACCTTGATAATGGAGAAAAGTTATCCAGTGAACATATAATGGTGCAGTTCATGAAGAATAAGACCTGGTCCTCCATGTTAGGAGATATATCCAAATTGCATGGCAATAAAGATCAGCATAAAAACCAGGAGAGACATTTGAGGTGAGTGTGTCATTCAAACAAGAGAAAACACTGCCTCAGTAGAAAGTCCTAAGGTGTCATGACATTAAAATACAGACACATATATTTATATATACCAAGGCTTCTAAGTGGTTCATAACGGTTCAACAATTGCTAGCGTAAAGTAGAACAGTGTACGCATTGCATAGCGACCAAATCTGTTGCCTGTTGGGTTTCAACCAGAGTAGGAAACAAATAGCAACGCCTCACTCAAAGATGGCGGCCGACAGCACTGCTTTGAATGTCACTCTCCACAGACTTACCAATAATCCAGTCTCCTGCACCAGGCTTCTGAAACTTTTGTGATCCGTGCAGGAGATTGAATTATTGGCAGGACTGTGGAGAGCAACACACATTCAAAGCAGCGTGGTCGGCCACCATTTTTGAGTGGGGCATCGTTGTTTGTTTCCTACTCTGGTTGAAATCCAGCGGGCAACAGCTTTGTTCACATTGCACTGTGTATGCTGCCCTCATTTATGTTGGCAATTGCTGAATGGTTACAAACCAGTTCAAAGCCTGGACATATATTAATGTATATATATGTGTGTGTGTGTGTGTGTGTGTATGTAAACCTAGCCATAAAATTGTGTTGAATGTTCAGATAATCTTCAGAATACTACATTTTTATAAATGGTGAGTCACATATCAAGTATTCGAAACATTTCACTTGGACGCAATTATCAGAAAGCCTCATATTAGAAAAATTGTGACAGTAATGGTAGTATTTCTGGTAGATGATTTAACCTCTGAAGCATGAAACAAGTCAGGCAAAAACTGTGTATATTCACTGTGTTTGGTAGTGGTAAAATGGGAACAGCTTTATTTCCAACAGCATGTTGTCTGTTTTTAACAGAAGTCATGCAGTAGAGAACCTCTGTGAATGTAATGAAGGCCATCAGTGTCAGAAAACCTTCAGCCAGATTCCAAATCTTACTATGCTAAAAAGAAATCCTCCAGAAGTGAATCCTTTTGAATGCCATGCATGTGGAAAAGCCTTCATGGATCACTCATCACATAACCATCATACCAGATCTGACAGTGAATGCAGTGCTTGTCAGTGTAAGGAATGTGGAGAAGCCTGCAGTTGTCCCTCTCACCTAAACACTCCTGTGAGAATTCTTAATGGAAAGAAACCCCATAAATGTAAGGTATGTGGGAAGGACTTTATTTGCATCTCAACCCTTAAGAATCCTGTGACAACACTCACTGGTGAGAAACGCTATGAATGTAACAAATGTGGGAAAGATTTCTGTAGTTTCTCATCCATTTGGATACATGTGAGAGGTCATAAGCTTGAATGTAAAGAATGTTGTAAAACCTGTGTTCCTTCATCCCTCATTTTACATAAAAAATCTCATAACAGAGATAATCCTTATGAATGTAAGGAATGTGGGAAAGCCTTTAGTTATTCCTCATCCCTTACTACACATATGCGAACTCACAGTGGAGACAGGCCTTATGAATGTAAGGAATGTGGGAAAGCTTTTAGTCAGACTTCAAACCTCACTACACATATGCGAACTCATAGTGGAGAAAGGCCTTACAAATGTAAAGAATGTGGGAAAGCCTTCAGGTGTTCCTCACACCTCACTACACACATGAAAACTCACAATGGGCAGAGACCTTATGAATGTAAGGAATGTGGGAAAGCCTTTAGTCAAGTGTCATCCCTCACTCAGCATATAAGAACTCACAGTGGAGTGAGGCCTTATAAATGTAAGGAATGTGGGAAAGCCTTTAGGTGTTCCTCACACCTCACTACACATATAAAAACTCACAGTGGGCAGAGGCCTTATGAATGTAACGAATGTGGGAAAGCTTTCAGTAATTCCTCAGCCCTCACTAAACATACAAGAACTCATAGTGGAGCGACGCCTTATCGATGTAAAGAGTGTGGGAAGGTCTTTAGGCAAGCCTCAAATCTCACTACACATAGAAGAATTCATAGTGGAGAGAGGCCTTATGAATGTAAGGAATGTGGGAAAGCTTTTAGTCGTTCCACACACCTTACTACACATATAAGAACTCACAGTGGAGAGAGACCTTACGAATGTAAGGAATGTGGGAAAACCTTTAGTCATTCCTACTGCCTCTCTGAACACATAAGAACTCACAGTGGAGAGAGGCCTTACGAATGTAAGCAGTGTGGGAAAGCCTTTAGTTGTTCCTCATCCCTCACTAAACATATAAGAACTCACAGTGGAGAGAGGCCTTATGAATGTAAGCAATGTAGGAAAGCCTTTAGTCAGGCCTCATCCCTCACTAAACATATAAGAACTCATAGTGAAGGGAGACCTTAGGAATGTAAGGAATGTAGGAAAGCCTTTAGTCAGGCCTAACTGTTCACTTCACGTATAAGAACTCATAGTGGAGAGACTATGTCAAAAGTGGCGCGTTTCATCCTTACTGCTGTAATCCCAAACAGCAAATTTCTGAAAGTCTGCGATTAAAGAACAAAGTTTCTCTGTGAGTGAGAAACCAATACTAACTCAAAGAAGGGGCCATTAGAACTACTTTGTGCCTTTGGGAGAGATGACAGTTTCATTGTAACTGCAGGGCTGTCCTCATCAGTATTTGCTACTTTCTCAAAGCTAAATTTTACCTTTCTGAAAGTCTTCGGTTACTACAGGGAATAGCCTTGAGCAAATGCGGTTTTATATTTTTTAATGTTATTATTGATGTTATTTTGCATACAATTAAATACACTCATCTTGTATTTGGTTTAAGAGTGTTTTGTTTTCATATTTAACACATTTCCTTCCATTCTTTCCTATTGTAAAGTTAACTATTTTATCTTTTGTAGTTAGTAAGTTTCTCATAGGGCGATACTTTGAGACTGCAAATATTCTGTTTTTCATTGTACTGTGGCCTAATTTTAGTATCCATTGAAAATTATTACCTATGCTTATTACTGTGGTGTTTACCGAAATGTTACCGGGTGGAAACCTCAGATCCTGCTCGGCATGACTCATATCGGCCAGTAGACAGGAGACTGGGATGGAAGAGTGGAAAGGTGCTTCTATTTTGTTGCGCAAGGAAAGGAGACAGAGCTGCTGCCACCAAGACTGCTCAGAGATGGTGAGGGGAAATGTTACTTTTAAGGAGTTTACAAGTAGGAATTTCGTACAAATTACATTAGCAACATTCTTAATCATACTACGGAGGTGCAGTGGGGCTTACATATAACTTTGTGCATCACCAGGATTTTCATGTAAATTTACAGTGTGCCAGGCAAAGGAAACAGGATTCTAATACAAAGCCGCAGGGCAAGCTAAGCAGGCTGCTTGAGGCAGTGGAATTTTCCGCAGCCTGAGGACCTCTGTCTTAAAATGGTATTTTTTTCCCCAATCATTTATTCTGTATTAATTGGAATTTTACAAAAAATAGATTTCTTTTCTCTCCCCTTTGTTTATTAAATTGTTAATCCTGGCAGTCTCTGGATTATGAATGAGTTCCATTTGTCTTTAAGTCCAATCTGTATGTAAGTGGAAACAGTTACAATTAGTATCTAATGTCAGTCAAATATTTGTCTTAGTATATAGTGTTATGGATTGAATTGTGTCCCCTAAAAATGTATGCTAACTTGGCTAGTCCATTATTCTTAGTATTGTGTGATTGTCCACCATCTGATGTGATCTTCCTATGTGTTGGAAATCCTACCTCTATGATGTTAATGAGGTGGGACTAGCGGCAGTAATGTTAATGAGGCAGGACTTAATCTACAAGATTAGGTTGTGTCTTAAGCCAATTTCTTTTGAGATATAAAAGAGAAGTGAGCAGAGAGACATGGGGACCTCATACCACCATGAAACAAGAGCCAGGATAATAGCACATCCTGTGGACCTGAGGTCTCTGCACTGAGAAGCTCCTCATCCTGGGAAGATTGATAACAAGGACCTTCCTCCAGAGCTGACAGAGAGAGAGCCTTCCCCTGGAGCTGGCACCCTTAATTCGGACTTCTAGCCTCCTAGACTGAGTGAATAAATTTCTCTTTGTTAAAGCCATCCACTTGTGGTATTTCTGTTACAGCAGTACTAGATAACTAAGACATATAGTATACCTTTCTATGCACAGAAAACATTAAACACTCCCAGATATACTAAAATATCTTTAGATAATAATACAGCAATAATAATAATACATATTTTTTTCATTTATCTTTTTTTTAAATTGTGTTTTAGGTGAAAGTTTACATTTCAGGTTAATTTCTCATACAAAAATTTATACACATATTGTTATGTGACACTTTTAGCTGCAATCCCTATAATGTGACAGCACATTCCCCCTTTCCACCCCAGGTTACCTATGTTCATTCAACCAGCTCCTGTCCTTTTCTGCTTTCTCATTCTGCCTCCGGACAGGAGCCACCCATTAGTCTCGTGTATCTGCTTGAACTAAGACGCACACAGTTCATGAGTATTATTTTATATTTTATAGTCCAGTCTAATCTTTGTGTGAAGAGTCGGCTGCAGGAATGGTTTTATTTCTGGGTTAACAGAGAGTCTGGGGCCCATATCTTCGAGGGTTCCTCCAGTCTCAGACCAAATAATGTTTTGATGCACGTCCCAAAGTAGCACCTGTTAGGAACTTCTGCAGCTTCATTGGATTTTCTTTTGGTACACACCACCCCCAACTTAGGGAGACCAGGAGGCCAGTCACTTGGGCACTGCACATGTGAACCCCCAACTGTGGTATGGGAGGGGAGAAGGAAGTGTGGAGCATGGACCTGGCTGCTGTGCAGGCCCACTTGTGACCTTGCTGGGAGGTGATGGCCTCCGCTCGACTGCGAGCTGTGAGAGCCAGTGGCGAGTGCACACCACGCCACCAGCAGGCAAGGGGTGTGAGCCTTGAGATCCTGCAGGAGGGGAGTCTTAATTTTTAATAGACTTTACGAAGTGGTTTGTAACCACGAGTTGTGCAGAAGTCAGACATTAGTAACCTGGGGACTGCCTGTATAGGCTTATCCATATTGGTTTTTTTTTTTTTTTTCCTTTTCTTGCTCAAATTGTCCCAGATTTGGTCATTTGGAGCTCCTTTAAGTAGTAAATTTTTTTTGACATGTCCCCGTTATAGTTTATACATTCGTTTAAGCCATTGTTTGAGGCTCATCTTGTCCTTTTCCTGCCTGAGCCCTGGAATCAGATTTTTCTCCAAGAAACCCCGGTGCGTTTTATTGGAGAATGGTATTTAGAAACAAAAATCTGAGCATTAGGTATGCTTATTGCTACTGGGCCCTCAAAGTGAAAAGAGCTAGGAAATACATGTGTGTGAGTATACATACACAAAGGTACGTATTTATACCTATCTCTGTATCTGTATTTTAAAAACCACAAGATCATACTCATATCTCTGATTCCAGTCTACCATTTCATTTTAGCCTTTTCCCTTACTTTGTATGTTACTTGTTTCTCTAATACTCCTGGCTGTCATTATCCACAGTACATTATTTGCTGAATCTTATAATAAGCATGAAGTAGTTCAGAATTGCTAACTGTGATGTGATGAACCACCTTGCAGAAAGCAATTTGGCCTTTGAGTTTTCTGAGAGTCAGACTGCAGCTGCAGCTAATGAGTAAGGGCAGGTAAGATCAGAAGGACTACCTGGTGGCTGATGCTAACCCCTGGAGGCATAATTTAGCATTCATGCAGGGCTGGCCAATAAAAGCGCAGACGTTGGAGACTTAAGGGAGATTCCCGGTTGGTGAGAAACGTCCATCTGTGTGGAGGGTAGCATGTCCTGGAGACATGGAAGCTCTGCACTGGGACCCCTCCCAGACCTCACCCCATGCATCTCTTCATTTGTATTTTTTTCCTTTTTTATATTTAAGTCATTATAAGGATGACCTTTTTTGTGAATTCTGTGAGTCATTCCCGTGAATTATTGAACTGAAAGAAGGCTGAGAAGTAAGGGGGCTGGGGACTGTGACCTTGAGGCTGGTTTTCCAAGGAGGTTAGAGGGACTGCCAGACTTCTAGCCAGCAGATGAGAAGTTGGGAGTCATTCAGACTTCCAAACTTGCAGCTGGTTGCAAACCAGCAGAATGTTCATTTTTAAACTCAGCATCTAATTATATCACTTGCCTGCTTAACATCTTTGTTTTCACCTTCTCTGTATAAAAATGCACTTCCCTCTCAATTTCTTTAATTTTACATCAAGACTCCTATGTAAGGTCTCCACTTGTATCATCACTCCACCTGCCCTGTCTCTGTACTATCATGGTACTCTTGTTTAGCCCCTAGTATAGCATTGCTTATGCTTTGTCTCTATAAATAGAGCTTCTTGGGATAGAGCTTAAGCTTGTAGTCTCTGCCTCTCTCTGTGCCTGTCATGCAGAAGGCCCTCAAACACTTGAAGCAAGGAATGGACGAGTGAACTAATTACTTATGATACACTGAGTTCTTCTTGTATCACCAGCACAAAGAACAGGGCCTACCACAGAGCAGGTAGTCTTTTAATGAATGTGGGATGGGTGAAATTAAAAAGATAATGATGAAATGGAATTTTCAGATGACTGGTAAGCAGAATGAAAGAAGAGAGGTTCTGCAGGTAACAACTAGAGGTCTTAGAATGTGTTTTTTTTTTTTTTTTGTATATGTGGTGTGCTCATCTGCACCACAATTCCAGAATAATTTCAGAAACGTGAACCACAAAATGTTATGGATCCAGCCTGGATCAGAGTAAAAGTTTAAAGCTGTCTTTCTGGATAAAGAGAATCCTAGGAAGACAGTGGTGGGATCCTTGGTTCTTATCACTGTTGAATCTTGTCAAATGACTGACATATATTTTCTAAAAGCAAGTAATTAAACATGGTGTTGCCTGTTATTTAAATATTCTTAGAGCAGACTGCCCTATCTAGAAATCTCCCCCATCAAACCTATATCTGCTTCCTAGGCACACAAAAAATAAATGTAATCCTTTTTCCATATGGAACTCTTAAAATAGCTAATCTGACATATTCTCTAAGTCTTGTAGGTTCTAAGCTAAATATCCCCATTTCTTTACCTGTATAGGTTTCGCTTTCTGCTCCCTTAGCTTTTTTTCTACACTTTTTATGGATAATATCCTTGTCGAATTAAAGCTAATATTCAAGGTTAGGATATGCTCATTAAATAATACAGTCAAACCAGTCCTACTGCTTTTCAGAACAATGTGGTTCTGTAGATACAGACCAAGCTCATGTGATCTACAATGATGCTGAATTCATAAGCAAATGAAGTATTTTATTTTTTTCCCATACAAAAATTTATACATATATTGTTATGTGACCCTAATTGCTCTCCCTATACTATGATAGCACACTCCTTTCCACCCCTGATTCTGCATGTCCATTCAACCAGCTCCTAACCCTCTTGCCTTCCCATCTCACCTCTGGACGGAAGCTGCCCGTTTAATCTCTTGTATCTACTGGAGCTAAGAGGCACACTCCTCACAAGTATCACTTTATGTTCCACAGTCCAGCCCAATCCCTGTCTGAAGAGTTGGCCTCTGAAATTCTTTTAGTTCTGGGCTGATAGAGAATCCAGGGGCTATGCTCAAATGAAATATTTTAAATTTTTTTTTTTTTTTT